ATTTTCAAGGTTATCAGATAACGACAGGGAACTAGGATAAAAAAAGAAAACAAATGCTAGTGATGGTGAAAGTTTTACACTACACCCCTTGGTTTGATGACCCCTTTAGTCATGATGTTTTAGCTATGGGGACCGGGCACACTGGGACTTGGTGCAGTAAGCTGTTTAATGCATATTTTGGAGTTTCGACAGTGAAAATGAACCTGTTCGGACTCCATTTACTAGTACCGTTCAGTAGGAAGCGCAAAAACCATGGAGGTGTGAAGTAGGTCGTGATTGCTAATCACCACTGTTGAAGGAAACGCCGGACGAAGTCCAGTCTCCTGGTCCTCCAGGTTGGGGGTTTGACTAGAATTTGCGTTTTAGTCGGTAAGAAATGGTGGAGTAATTGATCCAAGCAAATGGGCCAGGTCCTTGTCAGAACCAAAGGCTTTGGTTGAGAACCCTAATCGTTCTCCTGTATAGTGGCTGGACACCCTAGCAGTATCCGTCCATCAAACTCCAGTGCATGTGCATTGCGAGTTTGGCAGCGATCAGTGAAGTTCGCTTTCCTGTATTTCGCTGTACAATGATGAAGGGAACTGGAAGCAATGTTTTCCCGTCACAAATTTGAATAGAGAAGTCTGACTTCTCTATTCAAAGATGAAGGGAACGCCAGAGCAGTGGATAATAGGCAGGGGTCACTGGGTGTGTTAGTGAAGCTCTAGTCAATGTCATGGAGTTAAAATAATTATTTCTGCTCCCGTTGTCTGATGTTTAAGCGACACGACTCATTAGTAAAAAAACACATCAGAGATCGAGTACTGATATCGAGCTAGGCAGTACAGGAGGTAAACTAAAACTGATCAATGAAGTCCGCTTTATGAATATTTTCATAACACACAAGTGTGTGATGAACAACAGACGAGGCGCACCCCACAGTCAAGAGGTCCTGCTGTTCAGGTGGAAACCAGTAACCTAAGCCTCAGAGGACTTGGAGCGGCGAACCATATTAGGCCCCGCCGGGTTATGCGTGGTATCAAACCGGACGACAGAAAAACTGCCTGCCACCATCAAATGATGAGACTAAGACTGATTGAAACAAAACAAAATACCTCAACGATCACACCACGCTGTCTCGGTGCTGCTTCAAATGATCAACTTGACCGATCTGGTATAATCGGTATTCCAGTTCAACGAGGACGCTTGAGTAAATCAAAGGAAGATGGTAAACAGAACAAATGTTATCGCGCAGTTGCGGGAGTCGAATTGAACGGGACTTTCAGTAGTAGTCTGGGTCAATGAAATAAAGGAAATCACTCACGCGGACATCTTGGGTGGGTATGTGAAGCGGGGAATCGCGTGAATCGGAATCCATCTGAACCTCATCCTCCTCGTCGGAAGAAAGTAGCTGACCGGAATTGTGACGATGCATGCGCTGCTGATCAGCCGTGTTCAATGTGTTCAGTTGAGAAATCAGACCAAAAGC